TCTTTCGTGAAAATAAGGATTCCGATAATTGTGCTCAATTGCTAGAGGAAGAATCCAATAAAATGTTTGGCACTAAATATTTGAATGATGAGCATGATTGCAATGTTGTTAGTATGAACTCTTTGAATATCCATAGTACTAATGATGATTGCACTAGTCATGATAACAATGTTTCTTATAAGCATGTTGACTTTTGTGGAGTGCATAGACTTTGCTGTTACATACCAAAAAGGGAAGAAAGATTTTGCAAGAGGAATAAGTATTTAGAAACTAAATGGTTGCAATAGAGGCTAGATGTATGTGCTGAAAATTTAAGGACCGTGGAACCGTGGATTAGTTTCAAGTGGATAGATCCATCCACTTGAAACTAATCCACGGTTCTTTCACCCAATGATATAATAAATCATCATCATCATATTATTAAAAACTTATCATCATAATACATCATTCTCATTTAACAACTCCTCATGATCATCATTTCGTCAATGAGACATCATATAGCAAGTTGGTCAGTAGCCATAATCACAACTCCTCCTCCTCATCATCATCAACTCTAACACATTGTAGCACATAATAACACATTGTACCTAGGACCTACTCCTCTCTCATAGGACCTACTACCCTCTCTTAGGTAAAATAGCATAAAACAAGATAGGCCCTGACTCTCCATTATGGAGTATGGAGAATATCCTGTCTCTAGTTCTTGCGCTTCGCACAATGTTGCTTCCAAATAGCTCCCTACGATTGACCATACATTTTTTCCCAACCTTTGATTGTCATGTTTTCATAGGTTTTAGAAATCCGGTATGAATAGCAGTGATGCCTAGGATGACCTAGCCGTAAGCTCATAACATCAAGGCGACCTTTCGGAAACATCAGATGAGGCACACCATCCTTCGGGATTTTCTGTTGAAAAACATAATAAAAACTTTATAGTTAGCACTGTAGTTTAGTTTAGAAGAATTTACGCAAAAGATTCACAGATGTCGTAATAGTAAAAAATCTTACCATGCCATCACCATGGATGTTACCGTAGTTCAACACGTGCACTAGTGGCACATATTGACAATAATGTGCAGGATTTTGATAATAGATATTGTAATTCTCAAGATCATTAATAAATGAGTTCAAATGATTTTTCTCTTGATAAGTTAATTATGCGCCATCGGTGTAGTAGGTTCTGTCTAACATCTTCCGCAAATTCTTTGAAGAATGAAAATAAGCTATCAATGGAAATATGTTGTCAAGTATTTTGAAATAAACAATATAAATTACTGAATAACTATGTTTGAGAAACTCACATAGGGTAGAATTGGAAGCATATCAACAAGGACCCAAATGTCCATATTGTCTTCGTCTATGTCAGGATCACCTAGATCCATGGCGACAAGCATATCCTCTTGAAAATCATACGTCTTGCAAAGTGCTTCCCAATTCGGGGAACCAATTCTACCTTGCAGAATGGAGGAGGGAGGGGATGTAGGAGGGAGCTAGGGAGGGAGGGGGTGACGGAGGCAGCAACGAGCGGCAATGCAGCGGTGGTAGAGAACGGGGTGCGGGGAAGAGTGGGTGGAGTGGAGAGAGGAGAGTGAGCGGCGGCCGGTTGGGGAAGATAGGATGGCTTTTGCAATAGCGCTCTTTAGGGTAACGCGCTACTGCTAAACGCCCTAGAAGCTAGCGCCTTTCAAAGAAGACGCACTACTGCTATGCCCGTAGCAGTAGCGCCTTTTGTGAAAACGCGCTACTGCTAAGTCTAAGCATGTAAAAATAAACATCAAAAATACATTGGTCATCAATGATCTTTTTGTGTATAATCTGAATTGTCAATATGAGTCCTCACCGGTTTAGGAACCGGAGAAGACGCATATTGCGGCCACAAATCCTACACATATATAGAGTTCAATGAAGACCAAGTGGTTGTGATAGTTTGAGAAGTAACATATTTAAGGTGGTAAACATCATATTTGCGGAGCGAGTTGGGACTAAACTTACGTGCAAGGAGTGAAGGCGACGAGGTGGGACTAAACTTAGCAGTAGTGAGCTTTGTCAAAAGGGGCTACTGTTAAGATCAATAGTAGTAGCACGGTTTAGAATAAGGCGCTACAGCTATAACTAGCTTGGCGGCGAGGTCGTGGCAATTGTAGCAGTAGCGCGGTTTACTTCAGACGCGCTACTTCTATGTTGATTTAAGCAGCGCGTTTTATTGACAGCGCTACTGCTAAATAGCAGTAGTGAGCTTTGTCAAAAGGGGCTACTGTTAAGATCAATAGTAGTAGCACGGTTTAGAATAAGGCGCTACAGCTATAACTAGCTTGGCGGCGAGGTCGTGGCAATTGTAGCAGTAGCGCGGTTTACTTCAGACGCGCTACTTCTATGTTGATTTAAGCAGCGCGTTTTATTGACAGCGCTACTGCTAAATAGCAGTAGCGCCTTACTTTAAAACGTGTTGCTGGTAAGATTCTGTGTATAAGGTTTTCTCTAGTAGTGTTTAGGCGGCTTTCATCGGTGGGGGCTGGGTGCCAATGAGCAGCTCGTCCTTGCTACCCCACCATACTTTCAGCATGCTGATGCGGTAGGGGGTCTCGCCGACTGGATCCCGTAGCCTTGATCCATTCCTTCGGTTGGGTAACAAGTCCTCATCAGCACTGATATAAAAGGCAGGGGAATTTGGTGCATGCTCGTCAGCGGCGACGAAGGGAACCGGAAGGAGGCCGGCGACAGGTGAAGCACAGCGGCCGGGAGTCGCGCGAGATGCGGTAGATCCTGCCGTTCTCCTCCGGATACAGCGATACAGGAGATAGGACGAGCACCGGGGAGAGAAGGATGGGGGCACGGGTGCGGTAGAGGGAATCCTTGTCTTCTCATGCGCGACAGCAATGTCAACGATGCGTGAGTCAGAGCTGCATATAAGACGTTTTTTTCAGTTACGGTGAGGCTACGATGGACTGCGGGTGGATTCCTATAAACTACAGGGTCTTTTCGGCGAAATTACTGACGGTAGACGGGCATACGCACTAATTATTGTATTATTAGGTATAGTTATAGATATGTTCTAACAAAAGGGTCCGTGTGTTGCAACGGGAGAAAAAATTCATAATCTCCAAAAGCCATGAAAACATTTTGGTGCATCACTGATAACATTTTTGCAAACATTTTGTTCAATTTCATTAAAATTATGTAATACACGATTTTTTTAAAAATCATTAACATTTTTTGACGTCCCAAGTATTGTTTCGAATATTACGATTTTTTAATATGTAATTGTCCTAAAAAAACTTACGAACTCTTTTTTGAATCCACAAAAAAATTATGATATATTGAACATTTTATTTAAAAATTCATTTTTAACATTTTTTGAACTATTTTGTAGTGTCAAATTATTTAAAGTAGAAAAAATAAAAACGGATAAGAAAAAGGAAAAATAAAAAAAATGAAATTTAAAAACTGAATCCCTGCACATGGGACAGCCCAAACAGGTGCGAGGCATCTTCTCCCAGCATGCAGAGCACAGTATAGGAGTTCCCATGTGTGAAATGTTTTTTCACTTATTGGTTGCTTCTGTGGGTAATATTTTGCAACTTTGGTAATAAATAACTTTATTATTTCTAGCACAACGACCCATGCGTTGCAACAGAAGAAACAATTTCCTAATATTCAATGACAATGACCACATTTTGCTGCATCGCAGAGATACACCATCACTCTCATTTTGGTGAAATCGTGAATAATATTTCAAAATTATAAACATTTATTAGAACTCATGAATATATATGAAATCGTGAAATTTTATCAAATTCGTTAAAATTGTACAGATTTTTGATTTTTTTAAAATCATGAACATTTTTTGAATTCACGAACATATATACTATCTGCAAACATTTTTTAAGAATTGTAAACATTTTCAAAATATGTTCCTGGAATAGGCAAACATGTCTAAAATTGAAAAACATTTTTTTCGAAATTGGAGGAACAATTTTTGAAATCAACGAACATTTTTTTGATTTAACGAACATTTTCTGAAATGCACGATCATTTTTTCAATCAGCGAATATTTTATGAATCTATAAATTATTCCGTAAGTCACGAACAGTTTTTGAGTTTTTAGGATATTTTTTAATTCATGCATATTTTTCGAATTGGTCAAATTTTGTTTAGTTTCATTAATATTTTTTAATACACAAACTTTTATTTGAAAAATCAATATTTTCTGAATCAGCAAGTATTTATGAATTATTAAATATTTTAATTCAAATTCTCGTTTTTGAAACTTTTTCGAAGTTCCAAATTATATAAAGTACAAAAAATGAAGACAAAAAGGAAAACAAGAAAACTAAAAATGAAATTAAAAAACAGGCCTCGCAAACATGGACAGGCCCAAACAGGTGTGCTGTGTCTTCTCTCCGGACACAAAGCGCAGTATAAAACGTTTCTACTGCATGGGCAGTACCAGGCGGGGATACCGCGTGAAGTCTTTTTTTAATCATTCATAGGTCGCATATATGTATAATATTTTGCAATTTTGAGGGCAAATTCGATGACGTACCGTCAAATTAGGTAATACAATACCTTATTATTAGATATTTTTCATTATTTACAAGCGGTATTCAAGCTCATTCCTATTCTTTTTTAGTTTCCAAGATAGAATTTATTGGTTTTTGGCAAGAGCGGTGGGTGACAATGTGCAAGACACGATAGGTTGAGATAGGTTTGGCTCGTAAGGGCAGCCTTTTTTGTTAATTCATAGTTATATATATATATATAGGCATAGATAAAACTATTGTTGTTTATCGTTCATTGCATAAGTACATGCAAACCAAACACGTACTTACATGTCGCACCCATTTATTGTAAAAGCTGGTTTAATAAACCGAAAAGCGCACACAAGATGCATGCTACTCCCTCTGTAAGATCGTTTAGATCACTAAAGTAGCAATTTAAACACTCTTATATTTTTCTTTATGGGGAGTAAGATATTGTATTGAGATAATGAAGCAAACTCATCAAGCGCTCGGGTTCCTCTCCGGCAGCTTCTCCTCAACGGTCTCGAAATTGAAGTCGTAACTGTTGATTCCGGTGTAGAGGCCGTCCCTCTTGATGCTGCTCCTCACCCTCCCATCCGTGGTGACGTCCACCTGGCGGTAGTTGAACGGGACGGTGACGGCGCTCCTGGCGGCGACGGCCTTGACGGTGACCTTGGTCCTGGGCGGCACTGCGGCCTCATAGACGACCTCATGCCTCACCTTCTTCTCCATGGTTTCGCCCCAGTTGTAGGCCCCGTAGAACTCGGCTGAGATGCTGACCCGAGCGCCGAGGCCGAGCTTGGGGAACCCTGCTCTAATGGTGGACTTATACCCGAGCTTGAGCTCGAGAGTGGTGTCCCAGGTGCTCATCTCCTCCTCCTCGTACACCAGCCGCAGCCTCTTGGTGTTCTCTGTGGAGGTGTCGTTGACCGCCGCCGTGGTGGCCATGGTGAGCATGGTGGTGTCGTACACCCTGGCCTCCATCAGCCTGTAGCTGATGCTGTGGATCTCCCGGTGGAGGATGGGCTCCTCCACTGCGATGAGTGCCTCGGCCATGATGGTCGGGTCGACCGCGTTGAGGCAGTTGTTGATGTTTCCCATCGACAACCTCTTGCAGAAGCGATTGCTCCGGCCGTTGAGGATAGCGAACCTGTCCTTCACCTGGTATATCCAGAACCACGCGCTGGTGTTGGCGGCGGCGTTGCTAAAGGACATGTTGGTCTCGATCCAGTTGCCGTTCTCGAGGTTCCAGTAGGATGCGGAGCTGTTGAGATCGGCGGGGGCGATGAGGACGGTGCCGTTGTTCATGTGGGAGAGATGGAACATAGCGGTTAAGTCGCCGATGTCGGACACCGCGAACTGGAGGAGGTTCCGGTTGTTTATCCGTCGGGGGGCCAGGAACATGCCGTTGTTGCCCTTGAACATGACAAAGCTGGGGAGCAGCCTGGCGCTGTTCTCCAGGTTGAGGACGGTGAACGCGTCCCCCGCGCTGTCGTGGTGGTCAAGCTCGCCGTCCACCACGAGCATGCATGGAGAGGCGTCGTCCTTGGCGAAGGTCATGCGCCGCCGCGTCACCTCGTCGTCGCCGGCGGCGACGAACCTGCACGTGATACATGCCTGTTGAATTTTCGCCACACGAATCACTAGCTAGTGGTATAATACTCCTTCCGTTCCCAAATGGAAGTCTTTTCAGAAATTCCAACAGGTTACTACATACGGAGCAAAATGAGTGAATCTACACTCTAGAATATGTTTATATACATTTATATATTGTAGTGCATTTGAAATGTCTAAAAAGGCTTATATTTAGGAATGGAGGGAGTAATATCAAGTGGTACTAACCGAACGGTCATCACGGATTCACCACTGTCATCAGTGGTGGTGACAATGATTGGTTTAATCAGAGTGCAATTGGGGTTGGTCAGGTCTTCTTCCGGCTCATCTGCGTCGGCGGCGATACACCAGGCGTCGCCCCGCTGACGAGCCACCCAGTACTTACGGTTGTAGCGGCATCGGATGTGCACCAGGCCGCTGCCGTTATGGCCCCGCGATACCTCGACGTCGTACCTGGTGTAGGGGTTAATGGCGTCCTTGCCGTTGAGCTGCAGTTGCCTGAAGCTCTCACCATGCTCGTGCACATAGCGCAGGTAGGAGCCATTACTCTGCGAGCACAGAGCGATGCAGCTGGGAAGCTCTACCACCGGCATGTCGCCCGCTCTTCTTCTCTATAGGCTTGATATCTTTTTTTCTTTATAGGAGGTATAGGCTTGATAACTAGCTGTGGTGCTTGTTTGCTCAAGTTCCCACTTCTCTTGGTATTTATAGATCTCTATCCTTTGGGCAAATGGCATATGTGTACGTGCAATGCGTGTTATCTGCTACTCCCTCCCGTCCCACAATATAAATAGCTCAAAAAACGCTCTTATGTTATGGGACGGAGGGCGTAGTTGATATGAGGTAATTATATGCTAATTATGTGATTAATGCTGATATTAATACTGTGGTCTGCCCGCGCACAAGAGACAGACGGCCATTGGGCCAAGGGAATGGTCGTCGACCAGGGCTGGGCGGAGCCGTCGTCGTCACCGCGGGCGCCTTTGCAAGATCCATCTTTCTCGTGCAATTGGAAACTCGCCCGCACGCTGAAGCAGGATGACTAGGGTGAGGCGGGATCATCAATATGGCCGGAGATCTATCACGTCGGCACTGCAGGTGTACAAATGTGCAGCTAATCAGATCGACTTGGTTCAGTACGGGGAGCGGCTGCTTTGATTAGAATTTGTCGGGTTGATGAACGAACGTCTTGCGAGCCTGATATCTCTGTGTTTTAGTTTCATTTGTAGATGTTAGAGATTTTGTGTGGTTTTTGAGAACCTGTAGCCAGGTTCTGTTTGATCGGTAACATTCAGCGCAAAGATGCATCGATTAGAAATCAGGAAAGGAATTAATTAAGAGAAGAAAAGACTAAACTACCCATCTAAGTGGAGGGCCAGACTTAAGTGGTACTCCATCTCTGCTTGAGGGAGTACCAGGGTACCGTAAAAAATCTCATGCATATTCTGGGATGTTTTCCAGGTACGGTGGCCCATGGTTTCTGGTGCATTTTTCTTGAACCTGGACACCGAGGGTGCTTTTGATTATCCTGGTAATCGTTTGAGTGCTGAAACAGTGGCATAATAGCCATGGATTGGTTAGTAATCATCATTGGTTATTTCAGTATTTCTGATTTGGACAATGTATGTTTGACTTCACTTAGCTCATGTCATCCATATCTTTTTGAAGCATGTACGTGTGCCGTTTTGTTATCGTCCCAGTATGCAAATAAAATGCACTTCAATGCAGTTTTGTGATCACTTTTGTGCGTCAAGTCATCGGTCTATCCCTGCAATCAATGCTGGTGTGTCTCTTCTCCTATCTTCACTAAGTTGAATCTAAATTAATTAGGATCATCTCATTAACATATTTGGGCAATCTCACCAGGTTATTTCTCACCCCGCTGTACAAACTGTGGTTCCAGTTTGTTGGGATAGAACCATATGATTTACTGTGACTCAGAATTAGAAAGACCCCCATTATTCATTTTTCTTATATTACCACACATTATTTTATGAATGACGAGCAGATGAGGACCGGTTGCAATCCATGAGTATTTGAGAACGACGATACATGAATTAATCCTTAGATTTATTTTCTTCATAAATCTATTCCACATACAAATGAAATATTGATGGTTGTGAATTGATGGAAAGCTTCATGCATGAATCTGTTTAATTAATAGAGCAGCGGACATACTGTGCTTATATAGAAAGTATATATTTTAGCTTTGTGTATAACATGCATGCATGTTTTTGGAAGTTTTTCGGGTGGTCCACGGATTCCGATGCAATTTTATAGAAACTACAGACCAAGAGGGGTTTGATTAACCTGGCTTTAATTTCTAGGCAACAACAGTGGATTAGTAGCCAATGGATTGGTTAGTAATGTTATCATCACAAATTATATCAGTTTTGCTCATTTGGGTAATGTATGTTTGACTCAATTTACCTAATTCCTCCATCTCATTTGGAAGCATGTATGTGTGCATTCGGTACAGTTTTGTGATCATCCAAATATGCAAATCAATAACACTTCAGGTTGGGTCATTCATTGTAGTTTCTACTTCATGGTTGGATGACACAGTCCTTCCTTTTCTTATACATCAGTCACACAATATCATGCATTATCTATTATGAGTTTATGGAGATAGCAAGTTGATAAGATTAAGTATTTATAGTTTTTTAGCAATAACATATGCCAGTAGAAAATAATGTATTTGCGATACTTAGTTCATCCAGGTGTTTGGGCCGTCAGTCATTATTGAGGTAAAATATTCTATCGTCTAATATAGACTATGTTATTCATATTTCTAATATATAAAAGTTAGTTTAACAAAATAATTAAGTACGGTCTCAGTTTCATTAGTAGTCAGAAAGGAAATCCTTAAGCTATTGTAATTATGTCTCCACATGCATAGGAATCAAACTCTATAAAATTATTTATAATGTCTATTCCTTCCATGTTTAGTATATCTGAGTAAAACTTCATAGTGCTACACCGGAGAAATTATATTTGCAATGTTCCTTATCAGAAGGCTTTTGGTGCATAAATGTTGTTTGCGCATTAATGAGATATAAGCTACTTAGTTTCCTCTTTGCAGGAATGACTTATATTTTATCAGTTGCTTTGATATTATCTACGTCATCCCATCTCCTTAATATCATGTAAGAAAAATGCAGAAGGTCATTTGCTAAGTGTACTTTCTTCCTTATCCACATATCATTGGAAAATAGACCATTATGTGGCTGTTTTTCGAACTAGACTTCTATGTTTGGTTGTTGCTAAATTTCAAAAAGGCTATTATGCAAAAAAACTGATCAAATATTATAATCCTAAATCTGCGTCGTAATTCTGATCCCCCATCCAAGTATGGTCTCCATTGGTGACTAGGATATTAATTAAGCCCGCAGGCCCAAATATCTCCAATGAACTGATGTTATTTCTATATGGGATTCTTTAGTTATGAATATTGGAATTGTTTTTACGTTCTATCTAATTCAAAGTATTAAGGAAGGTGAGAAATTGCACAACATTTTAAATTGGATATTAACCTCCTATATTGCATTGTGTTCCTATGTTGTATGTGCTTAAAAGTTGGAGAAGATGTCACTGCTTACATATAAAAGATTTGCGCATCTTTACACCAATGTACGCAGTGTTGATAATCAGAATCTTCCTGAACCAAGTGTATTTTCCCTATGGATAAGCATCGGGCATTTTTTTCATGCTTTAGAAATTATCCTACGGCTTTTAGAAGGGTTTTTTCATATTTTTAATATTCTTATATTTATTCATAAAAAAATGTTGATCAATACAATTCACTACCATGTATTTTTAGTGATAGTCTGTGCAGTTACATGGGTATTGTTGTACAAATGCCAGCATGGGCGGTCTAAGCTTAAGCAATGTTGTGTCGAGGACCACTGCCGAAATTTACTTCACTTAATAATTAAAATCGTTACCTACATCAGGTTAGAGAAGCTTCCTTTCTAAAATTTGCTCTACTAGCTTCTTGAGTTTTTGAAGTTGAGCAAGTTGGATGATGCAATTCATATTCCTGAATAATAAATTGGCATACACGAACATGTTTGATGTATTGATTTGTTTTGTTTTTCTCACTTGAGTCATGAACTGTTCTATTTGTGCATAAGTTTTTTGAAAAGAGGACCTTTATTTGTGCATAAATAAAGATAAGGACTCTCTAAATCTTAATACATCTAACCATTGGTCTCAACATTAAATTTATACACCATCGTCGAGATCACAATCAGGACAGTATGGTTACCGATTACATCCTTCATTAAAAAATAAGAAAACTTCCCCCATAAAGTAACTCTAATTTTATCACCCCTGGATTCTTTAACCCAAAAGAGTATCGAGATATTCCAGCTGGCATTCTTAGTATGCTAGCCCGTGTGAATGCACAGGTTGACGACTAGTATTTACTAATTGGAGGCACCATACGAGGCTCCACGTTAATTCGAGAGATCAAAAGAGATCTATTTTGTCCATAATACAGTCCGATGAAGTTATGGTACAAACAAAACGTGTCCACGGGAAGTTTCCTAAATAAACACGCTACCCTCTACCAGAAAAACAAAAGAAACACCCCCATTACCGACGCACGTGAAAGTCCCCAATGTCCAAGTTGAAATTGGAAAAAATAAAAAATCCATTTACCTTATCCCTTCATAATAAATAAAAAATATGCGCAAATGAAAAGTCCCCAAATCTCATGCTAGGAATGGAATCCACATCATAGTCCCACAAAAACAAAAGCCACGTGCATGTTCCCATTAAAAAAAAGAACACGTACAATTTATTTTTAATTTTGAGGAAACACGTACAAATAAATGCCCCTGAAGCCTTTTGTTTATAAAAGAAAGAGACTCTGCCTAAATGAATTTTTTTATAACCGTTAGAAAAGAATACATGCGCAAGATGAAAAAAAGAAAAAAATGAGCATACAAAAATCTCCCCCTAATAGCTTCCAAATATTACCACTTCCATGGTAATTAACTTAATGTGTGAAATCATCTATGTTAACATAATTTGTAAAAAAAATTCACGGACCAGAAAGCCATTTTTTTATTGCTCTATTGACACTATCCAAATACTTAGTTTGTCATTTCTAATTAACTATGGTCTAGAGAGACTATGAGAACGTCGTTTAATTGCTCTAAGAATATTCGGAAGTAGTGCTCTCTCCAGCTCTGTACTGCTTAGATGTTGTATTTTCAGGAGTAACTTCTTTTAACCATGAATTCATATGTTAGCATGTTGTGCTTAATAAGACAGCGTTCTGAGACATACATGCCTATTACATAAATTTACTCATGTAGCTTAGTGGTTTTTTGTGTTGTTTCCACCTTTGTGGACTAAATTGAATTTTAGGTTATGTCATGGATATTTAAGGTTCCTGTTCAAAGTCTGTCATACAATGTAGTTTTATCTGTGTTCATCTACTTTTTCCATCTATTTTTTTCGAATCTATGTCAACTAGGTATTCCGTAAGGACATAGTGAAATTTGGGATCGAGAGGGGGCATACATTTACATGGACAGATAGCAAGACACATGGAGCACATACGGGCACCAAAGTAGAAATTCTT